CTGTTGCATACGGGTTGTGGCCTGCGTAGAAGTATCGAGATACTGCACGAGTACATTGTTTCCATTTAACACTCCTGCAAAAAACAACACATTTTGTGAACAATTATCAAGCTTTAGATCTTCTTTTAAAATTTTTTTGGAGTTCATGATATACAGAGTATTTACCGGCAACTTCATCCTGTGTTGATGGATCAACTTTGGTTGTCTTGGACTTGATGGGTTCGGTCTGACCAATGGTTTTCTGCTTCTGTCGCTTATAGCAAATATACGGATAGACGGTAAGTGATGAGTAGAAAAGGAACAATCCCCAAATCTGCACCACCGCCTCCCAAGTCTTCAAGGCCGGTATATGTCCATCAAAAATACACTGACCTTTTGCCGCGGCCGATTGAAAATACACGCCGTCCATAATCAGTCCCGGGGCGGTGATAATATGCGCCAGGACAAAACTGCCCACACACACCTCCACGGCGATTTTAACGGTACTGTTGTGCCGGTACGCAATGGGCTTGATCATCGCCCACAGTCGAGTGCCAGCAATGAGAAAATGCGCTTGGAACAACATCATGCTGATGGTCCATGAGCCGTACAGGAACACGTAGCACCATTTGCGGCCCAGCCAGAAGAAAGGGTACAGGGCGGTGATCAGGGCCAGGATGTTGTTGAAGATGATGTACAGGATGTTAGCGTATAACAAGTTGATTTGATAGATGGTGAAGCCGGTTTTGGTGCGTTTTCGCAGCAGAAATAACGATAGGACGAAGGTATTCACGACAAATGCCGCTAGAAGAATGGATATATTGAGACAGGCTTTGGTACTCCATATTGCTGGTGGAGGACGCCAAAAAGTGTAGTTAGAGAACACGGCGGAATCGTTGACCATGGTTTTTGCTTTACGCCGCAACGGTGCCAAATATTTCTGGAAAAGGAAGCGAACTGTTTTAATAACTGGTTTATAAAGACGGTTCAGCAGTCGTATACAGAATGTAGGGCATAAAAGCGAATGAGAGACCTCGAAAGGTCAGCGCAGAATCAAACACAGCACATATTAACGTTTCTTGAAATATGTGATTTGACGAAAGAAACCCGATGACAATTCCGGAAAAAATGGGCGGGGTGTACGTAGATGAAATATATTATTGACACAGGCTGACGTAAACAACAGTGAAAATTATAAAGACTTAAAGGTCACAAGTACTAAAGCCGAAAATGTATCGACATGGTTTCCCGCACCAAATGAATAGAAGAAAATTACTGGAAATCGAAATATGGAAATACTGGCAACTACAAGCAAAAACTTATGATCAACAACGCAAAATAAAAAAACCATCGGGACATAAAGCAGTATTCCTCCAGTATATTGCGGGATGTGGTCGAGGAATATGCCTTCGGGTGGGGTACACATTTGCAGGTAAAACCATCCCGCTATAAATTTGGGTTTGAACATGTGATCCCCCGCAAACACAGGGAAGTTAATCAAACTTACCCTGCACGCTTTGCATCTGTACGCTGCTGAAAAGTCACTTGGTGTCAGCGGACACACAGTTCGACCGCTTTGCTTTGCTCGGGGATCACAAAGGCACAGTGTACATAATTATTTCCACCATGCATAAAACCATAAATATATATTTTGGGAGCAGCAAATTTCGTTGACCTTGGTTAAGGTTCTGCATTCGAGAGATTTCTCGCAATCAACATACAAATTTAAGTAACAAGCCTTCAAATGCAATACCAGGCCATGTTTGTCCTTCAGTTATGCAGACACTTAACTAGTTTATGACCTGTGTTCGATAAATGGAGCCTTCATACAGTAGGTAGAGTGTGACCCCACGCAGGCTTATTCCCGATTCGGATAAAGTGAAGTATGGGTAGTAATAATTAGTCCCAGACAGTATAAACGGGCGTTCTTAAGGCACTATCGAGTCGGCAGGATACAAATTAAGGCAGGTAAAAATGCACACGTGAAACTAAGAATACACGATGAAGAAGGAATGCCGACTTCCAGAAAGCAGAGCATCTTCCCGCCTGGGGTCGTTATCCATGAATTAGATTCACGTAAAAGTTGTTCGAAATCTAGATTTCATTGACGGCCAACCCCTACGAGTAGTGGTACAAACCACATGCTGCTGCTGCTGGTTTCCTGCGGTGGATCATGAAATCGTTTACGAAGGCTCATTTTGATGAAAATCAATGTGTAGCACAACCTGCAGTGGGATTAGTGACAATAAACTAAACTAGATGTGTCAAACTGAAAGCAGTTAAACGCTGACAATAGGCAGAAATCAATGGAAAATTGCATCCTGAGGAGCGAAACTGTGACAGTGAATGTCTCTTCGTCTTTACACTGCAACTTGTTGTATTTCTTAGGTGTTATTTCGTGCGTAATGTCTCAATTAACGGCGTGATTTAATTATGTTTTCAGGGACATAGTTGCGTGCACGGACGACAACGCTAACAAACATTCCACTGCTCTCTAGATGATATTGTCGTCATTTTGAAAAATCAACCAGGTGATATGGGGACTTGGCATAAAGCCGAAACCTTGGAGTAGAGCATGGTAGTGGTTTATTAGTCTACATGACAACCATCTGCGGTTGAAGTAACAATCGACAGCTGACCGGAGCCAGCTAAACCCGTTGCAATGAATGACCGTCTCAACTACTCGTAATACAGCCCTGCCGGGCCAAGTTGGGGCAGTTGCGAAAATTAAATTTTAAAATATTTGTATGAGCTGTCTTGCTTTTCTTTTAAAGCATCCATAGTAGAACTTTTTGTTGCGGATTCCTTGGCATGAAAATTTCGATCCTACGGTGCGCCATTAAGAGGCCAAAGGGCGGTTAAAGAGGTGGGGTGTGGCCATTTTCAAGAGGGTTATACTTGCCCCCCCTTAAAAATTCCCCACCCAATATTTTTGCGCTGACTTTTTTGAAAAGTTTTGAACGACCCGACAGGTGTCCTTTGCGGGTTATCCGGAGAACGTTGTGCGATCACTGCTCGAGGTGACCTCGAAACAATGTGTTCATCCCATAGACTTACATGTTAAAAGGTGCCTACCAAAAAGTGAGGTTGCTTAGCGCTCTGAACGCGTTGGGTGAGATACAGTATTACCATTTAAACAGGAGTTGGGAAGGAGGAAGTACAGACCGCAGTACCACTTGGTGGCTCTCATCCTTCCACATTTTGTAAAATATTGTTGAATAACCCTGCAGATTTTTCGGTAAGCAATTCAGTTTTCGGTGAAAAATTAAATTTAAAATACTGTTCCCATTTCCTGCATTTAAGCAACATTCAAGAAAACAAGCCTGCAAAAGGTGCAACAGACCCGAGCAAATCAATAAAAAATACACTGAATGTTTTAAATTTTACTGATGAAAGCAGAGGAATTTTCAGGAGTGCCCCAACTTGGCCCGGCAGGGCTGTAGCTCCGCTTACGTTAGACTTGCACTTAAACAAAATCTGTGAAGATATCGCGTAGAGGTGAGTTAATAATATTATATCTGTATGTACAAAGTACAACATATTTGTAATTTCCATGGATTTCGGTGGTGTTTTAATACTTTTAAAATACACGTTGCTGACCGGGTATAACATCCTCGCGAACAGGTACAGTTCGTCTACGACACTCACAACTCCAGTCAACATTGTCTCTCAGTTTCGGTGTAATTATTTTCTTTGATTGCACGATGCTATGAGCTTCTCATTTCCATTTTTAATTACTTTTTTGGCGTTACAAGGATAGTTCCAGGGAACTGGTCCCGGAGCTTGTGCCGTATTCGCGGTATCTGGTTGCATACCTAACAAGAAGAACGGTTGTGACCCAGTAAGTTCTGAGTCTAAGGACATCTCTGTTTCTCAATAACTCTGAGGCCGCTTCCTGTCGCGAACCGATCCCAGAATTCCTCTGATTCATCTGTCAAACAATGTCAAATTTTAAGAATTTCCCGTCAACAATGTCACTTCATTAGTGCGTGTATGGAGGTTGACCTTTCCCAGACTGCAGAAAAGAGAATTCACCCGAGTAATCATCAAATTAATTCTCGCAACCCTGTAATTTGTTGCAATCTGTACGCATTCAGCTGGTAATGGCGGTGATGCTAACGGTAAAACAACTAACATCAAATTCGACGTAATCCCAGAATAGTAAGGTTGATGACAAATCAAATAATGTATTTGATATTAAGACTGCAGCAGACTGCAGTTTTAGGATCTAACAAAAAATATTTGACTACATCTACCGCCAACGAAATGTTTCGCAGCCACCTAATTTCTCAAATGGCTCTTCACGGTTCACGCAATATTACTCCTACTCTCCGGACAGACAAAGCGAAAAGAAAACTGCAATGAGAATCACACCGCACAACGGTTTTATAACTTATGAGTTCAGCACAAATTTGATTATTTTGCTCGGTGATCTCCAGATTACCTGGGTAAGCATCAGAACGCGCCACGATCAGAAACTACCTGAAATAATTAATGCAGCTTTACTCCGAAACTGACGAATGCATTTCGGACTGAAAACTCCATGCCGCCCAAAACACAGGATTTCAATTATTATAATTATTATTAATTTTAATTATGGCCTTGAATCCTTAGAATTGTAAGATTTCAAAGGCGTGATTCAAGTTCTTTGAAAAGAAGCAGATGAGCAGGCACGTACATAATTCGATATCTTGTACGTAAATAAAATTAGTTTTCTGTGGGTGTGCTTTGGTAAAGCAAGAAATCGATTAGTGACCGTGTACGCTTGTCAAATTATGTACTGGGTTTGCTATCGTTATCATTCTAGTATGTACTTGTACTCGTACAAGAAACTGAACCAAGCCTCTTATGGGGTCTCATACGGTGCCGCGAACGTGAGTGCTTTATTGACAATTCGTGCATGATGTTGCTGTGCATTAGTTTAACGATGAAAAGCTATTTATCGTAGATTATTGCGTAAAAGTTGTGATGACGTCATGACAGAGGGTAGAAATGTTCTGTATCTCTGCCGCAGCGCTAGCTCAGTCTTTGAACAGTATTCGCTTGAGGCTTTTGATGCAGCCATTGCACCACTCTTTCAGTTCCGGTATAACCATCAGGAAGATGATGGGATCGACGATCATCTGCATATTCTTAATGGTAATGCAGGCGGTCAGCGCGTCGGGCGTAAAAAGACGAAAATTGATACGGAGCAGCGTGGTATACAGCGCGCCGGGTGTCCACAGTAGGAATAGACTGAGGGTCAACAACGACAGCACCAGGAAACCTTGCCCGCGACGTGGACCTTTCGGTTCGGATTTGGCATTTTTTGGCTTGTTGATCGTCGGGAGGGAGTTATCTGTAACTGAAAGAAATATTATCATTTTTAGATTAGACGTACTCGCACTTTTGTATAATTTGTTTTACATGAGGTTACCTACTACTGAATAATTCAGCGAATCAGTAGACGTTTTACTCGTACCTAGAAACTTAATTTGAATAATATCATAGCCAGCAACAGTCGGTAAGCATTATTTCCTGAATAGTGTTTAACGTACCGGTGCCTTCGGCTTCCGCGGCGTCTTGGGCAATTACATGCCGGGGCTGAGAGCTGCTGAACTCCTTCTGTCCGACCTTCTTGCCCATTTTTCGTTTCAACCAGATATAAGGATACGCCAACAACGACGAATAGAAACAGGCCAAACCCCAGATCTGAATGAAAAACGCCCAGGTCTTGAAATCCTCCGTGGCAGGATTCATCAGACAGCCATTTCTAGCCATAGCCGTGTGGTAAAAGAACCCATCCATAATCAGTCCCGGGGCGGTCACAATATGCGCTACCACGAAGCTAATGCCGCAGATAATGATAGCGTTTTTGACGGTACTATGGCTGCGGTAGGAGATGGGCTGGACGACGGCCCACATGCGGGTGCCGGCAATGAGGACATGGCACTGATACAGTGCCATACTGATGCTCCACATGCCGTACAGATACAAGTAGCACAGACCGCTGCCGACCCACCAGAAACGGTACAGGGAATTGATGAAATCCAGGATGTTGCAGGTGAGGATGTACAGCAGATTTATCGTCAGCAAGTTCATCTGGTAAATGGTGAAGCTGGTCTTGGTGCGCTTTTTGATCAGAAAGAGAATGGTAACAAACGTGTTGAACAGAAAGCCCAAGATCAAAATGGACAAACTGAAACCAGCTTTGAGATTCCACATCGCCGGATTGGGCGGACGATAGGGAAAGGTAAAATTACCCTGAACTGTGGAGTTGGCAAAGGTCACATTTGTGATGTTCGTCATGGTAGAGTTTAGCATGGACAATACCTGGCAAAAAGTGCGTAGGAGAGTGCTGGTTTTGACAGTGACTGGTGCGGATAACAAGCTCCTTATGTTTTTATCCCCTTTTTGCCCGGAAGTGCTTCCAACGAGACAAGACTGTAGTAATTACAGCAAACGAGACACAGGGTCGGCTGTAGCAGCTGCGCAGCCGGCGTTAATAAGCGGGTAATATTAGCTGCTTGTGACCGATTGGATGTTGTGTCACGATTAGAACGTCATTTCTTGTACGTAAATTAACGACGTGATCAACTTTCGCTGTAAATCCGGCCAACGGCGGATGTGCATAGACAGCGGTGGGCCTTGTGATTCCGATCAAGTGTAGGTAATGAGATTTGTCCAGGACATCAGTTTTCTTTGAATGTGGTCATCCATGCCGGGGTAAATTGGATAGAGTACGGTGAAAAATTATGAACTTAAAATCACTATACGGGAAAATATGTAACTGGACTCTGTATTATTTATTCACCGGTTCCGTTCATTAAATTTCTTTGTGGTTAGTAGAGATCATTCAGAGACTATGCTCAGCAAAAGCTACCCATCGAATTTTGGTTCGGCATATTACAAAACTAAACCTGAGCCGCATTGTGCGCTTTCCTGGGCATTTTCCAAATGATCCCGATAAATCTTTAAATGCTTCCGCTGCTGTCACTTATAATAAAAGTTATGTATTGCCAGCTATCGAGAAAGAAAAAAGTCACACAGAAATATTTCCCGTCGAACTAATTAACTGCATTAAATAAGTAAGCAGAAAGAGCACGGTTTACTCTTTTCTTTGTCAGAAAATTCAAAATCGGTTTGATAACCTACAACCATCCACATCCAAAGCCAAAGCTATCCGCGGTTTATCCTTCGAAAATATATGAAAAATAACAAATTAATGTATTGTAAAACTGTAATCCAAATATTTGCAGCTTTGTTAAGAAAGTGGTGTAATGAAACGTTTATTTGGCGTTATTCGGTATTACCGTATTATTAATGTGTTTCACTCTCGCCTGTAGAATTACGAGAAAGAAAGTTTGTAAGTGCGACTTGGTACAGCAAATTACAGATCACCGTAACCCAAAAATTAAATGCCCACCGACTCTATCTATAGATAGTATCCGCCTATCCGGAATGGATCGACGTGATTGCAAGCCCTAAAACCGGAGGGGCCTTTGTAACGGTTGGGAAAACACAATCATAATTATGGGAATGCACAATCATAATTATGGGAATAAATACAGCACCATGCGATACTAAAAACTCTGAAAGGTGCATATAACAGCGAAAATGTCTCTCAAAAAAATTTTAAATTCAACTTTAAGGCTTCCAAAACAATGAATTAATTATTTGATTCTTTTTTTAATTTTTGCACATAAATCATAAACCTGTGTAAAAATTCTAAACGTCAAGCCTATGGTTGTTCGTGACCTTGCATTGCTATTAGAAGGTGAAGCAGCCAAAATTATCCGCACTTCTGATTGACGTCACTGATGCGACGATCCAGTACGTAATCTTGTGTACGAGTTGTGCAGATGTGATTCCTAGAATAAGATGAACTCTCTAAGCGTCGATCTAACGTTTTCACTTTGTGAAGTCCTATTTTCAAAATCCATACATTATGGGCTACCTTTGACACATCAGTTCATTAACGCCTATGCTCGAGAAACGCCGACAAATGGTTTGGGGCAAATGGCCAGCCTCAGCTCGGCCGCGAAGTCTCGGGTATCGTCAGAACATGCACGGCCACCGGGAAGGAGTGTATGCGTATGCGTATGCGCGTGTATGCCATCGCAGACACCTGATGCGTGGCCAGGTGTCCTCCCTGATTCGTGGCCAGGGAGGTTGGCGACACCTGATACGTGGCCAGGTGACTCCCACCCAGGGAGTTGGGACCACCACCTGATTCGTGGCCAAGGGGGATGAGACTGCCTTCCGGTGCGGTTCTGCGCGTACCATAGCGAGAGAGCTGCGCGAGTGAGGTCAGGCCTTTAATCAGAATTTGTACAGTGCTGCAAACAAAGTTGCCAGATAATGAAAAAAAACTTGGAAGACATCAGAAGCAAAGCGACAGGGTGGGATGGCGGGTAAAATGCAATAACACGGCAAAAACACATTCACTGAACAGCTTCTAACTTCCAGTTCGCGTGCAAACGACAAAATGCCAGACACAGATCGTACCAAACAACCAGTATGCTGTCTAACGCAGGTAAATGGAACAGCTCTAACGCTGCATATAGTGGATAAGGCAGGCGTTCCGAGTGCAACAGGTAAACTTCACATTCCAGGCAACCAACGGAAGGCGATAGGTGATCCGAACAAAGGCTATTGTTCGTGAGCCCCAGAATGAGAGATCAGCCGTGCCGGCGTTTCTCTCACGTCGTTAAAACAAGTTAGCGACTAAACGCTAACTTCAATTAATTCATGGTGTTTGAAGATGTGTATCATATGAGATATTCATCAACACTGCTTCATTATGCAGTTACATACCGCTGAAAAGCACTGGTGGTGTCAGTTATTCGGTTTTACGCATTCTCTCATTGGTTTCTCAGGATTCCACCCTTCGATGACGGGCCACTGCCATGACCGAATACGTTTCCTGTTCCGCGCTTGATCACAGTAAACATAACACTGCGGTGCTGTTTTTTTGCAGTCATGTTTTTTGTACGCATACGTACGTATGTACGATACCATTAGTATAATAATTATTATGTTGAAAGCAGGCTGGTGAAAGTTAGGGTAGTATAGTGTTATTTCCTACTCTAACAGTCTACTACGTATGTAGTGTGCTTGTACTATAGTACGATTACACGACTCTGTATGTTGTAATGTAGCTGACTTGACACTTGACGCTTGACAGTTTTTATTAGCAGAATGTCAGTTCTAATATCTCGTGGCAAACGTTTCTAAACCGTGGATATCCACAATACTGAATATTTTCTGAACTTTTACAGTGTACACATGTTTGCCAGACAAGTTGACGGATGAAAATAATATCGGTTTTCTAACACCGATCAATTTATGTTTGCTTTAAGGGGGCATTACAACATAACGAATGCCTTGCTCCAGAACGCCGTAATGAAAATTTATCACTATCTTCTGATAGTTCTGAACTTCTGGTTAATCGTTAGTAATGTCCGTTACATTCGTCATCCCAGCACTGATTCTTCTAACAAGGCTATTCCTATGTGACTGTAAGGAGTTCGCAATACACAACAAACTTTTCGATGGTTTCCGGGATCCTAACTATAAACCACACTGTAATATGTCCAGCAAGCGGAATTTTCGAACTAGCAGCAGTGCGAAAAATACTTGCTTGCGAGTGCTGATGCGCGGGGTAAAATCTGGTACATCGATAAAATCGTTTGATCAAACAGCGGTCTTCATGGCTTCGGTATTATTTCGTTGTTTTTTTTCAGTCAAAACCTTTTACCTTCACGAATCCGGTACAGGGAGTGGATATCGAAATTCTCAGCGCGGCAGCTGCAAGACTGAACTTTGATTATTCCTTGTACTGATATGTACAGATTTTAGGCACTATTATACGTACTGCTTTTGTACTGCAAAATCTCACAATTTTCAGAACACATATATCCGAAGTGGATATTACACAGGCTTCTCAATCGGAGAACAACGCTGATGATCTCATCGCCTTAATCAAGAGCGGCAGCTTTGACCTTGCCATCGGTGGTATCGGTTCGCGGGATAACTGGGGCGAACCGGTATCGGTGCTGTATGTACCCTATCTTCTGGATCGCATGGTACTCCTACAAAGGCGCATTCCGTCCGAAGCGAACGTAGGTCAGTTCAAGATGTCCACGGGCACATTCTCCATAGCCTGTGGAGTTCTGGTTTTCGCCGCTTTGGTGTACTGCGGACTGCGTTCTCTACAACGCTGTCAAAAACCTCGTCCGAAGGTTACATTGGCTCTGTCGCTACACGATCTGCTGGACTTCGGCCTATATGAAACAAACGAAAGTAACACGCGATTTTTTATTACTGTATTTACTGGAACAAGTGGTTTATTGATCAACTGACAGGTATGCGGCAAGCAGAACGCGACCTTTATTTGACTGGGTCAATGAAATGCTTGTTGGCTGTTCATTTATCCGCCGCAGCCGTGATGACTGTGGTGTACTCGGCGGCTATCACAGGGGAATTAAGCGTGAGATACGATCAGCCCACTGTGGAGTCTGTGGAGGATTTGAACCGTTTTCCCGGGCGGACAATCTTAGTGGCCAGTCGCAGCACCACCTTTGACTGGTTGCAGGTTGGCGGACTTTACTTTTTTCTGTAGACTTTTATTGAAAGTATGATTCCCAAAGGCGCTGCCCTTTTTATTTCACGTGGTTGCTCTGCAACTTATCAACACTTCGCATTACTTTATATTTTTTGATGTCGTTTATGACCTCGGGTTTTGAGTACTCTGAGTCATGATGTAAAGTTCATACTAGCCTACAAGGAAAATACAGAATAGAATATTATGAAAACAGTTCCTAGCTTTCTGTCATAATAATGATAATACTGTAGCCGCCCGCACAAGTTGCCCCACAGAGTGAGGTATACGGATATTTGGCCTCACATTGCTCGCTGTTCAGCGCAGTGTGTGCAGGGAGAAGGCAGCGGCCGGATCTGCCAATGGAGCAACTTGTGCGGGCGGCTACAGTACTGTATTAAGGTGTATGATGTATCGAAATTTCAATCCCATTTTTGTTGTTAGCTCAAAGCAAGTCAAAATAATACGGCCTACCAAGCGGTCGTAAGCAGGGTGTTGGCCCAGCCATCGGACAAAACTTTTACGCCGCAGTACGACGCCGTTCGAGCACTGTTGAATGACTCCACGGGAAAATCCGTTTTCATCGGGTACGCGCATCGAATAGTAACCGGCTGGACGTCCATCGCAGACTCTCGTACCACTTGCGATTTTTATGTCCCTCACACTGCCGTTGCGAATCACTGGAAGGCACTGGTAGTTTCACTACGATCAACGCAGTTACGCGCCGAACTCACCCAAATGTACGCCTATACGTACTTCTGAAAAAGGCATACATTACTGCGCTGGAACTTAACCTAACATCTGAAACTTAATTAGCCAGCTCCTGAAATCTGCTTTCTATTTTTTAGAATAGGGGAGATGAGGTCAAGCAATCTAGTGGAATTTTTGTATCATCGATACGTGAAAGATGGAGAACTCTGTCAAAGCCGAAGTCATGATGGTACAAGTGTCAAGTCTAACCGACTGGGCTTGATGCAAATTCGGTGGTTCTTTTTTACCCTTGCGGGGTTTTTCTTTTGCGCCGATATTATTTTTGGTAGAATACACTATTTTTCGTTGTTAATTGTTTATTAATTATTACCACAATTGATTGTGGAAATATATCTGGACAACTGTGTTAACGTTCGAGATATTTCAGCCGTCCATGTAAAGACTAAATGTATTCATGTAGATAATAGAAATGCACAATATACCTGCGTGTGAATCATATCGGGTCGATGATCCCATAAAATGCGTACCAACTGTCAAACACACCCTTTCGGCTGTCACATTCGGGGAAGTGTTCTTTCTTCCTGCCTTTCAAACAATAGCCGAAAGGAGTAATGTCCTTGTACGAACGGCATTTAGATATGATGGGCTCTGCAGTACGAGTAATTATAACCAGAAACAAGGCAAAAATGAGTAGAAACGCCGGACAATACATTTTAAAACTTATCGACACCCTGCATTTGATACTATGCATCCAACTCGATGCAAAATGCCGCAAGCGTTCATATAATCAGCGTGCTTGTCGTCTCCTGCATATTTTCATAATAATCGCCGCTTTTTTCACAACCGGAATCTATTTCATCCGGTTCGTTGTGACAACCGTCGCGGAAACTGACCGGCAGCAAATACTGCTGTCTGACTTTTTCAGCTATGTCCAGGAGTTTATGCAGCCCGCCCGCGGTGCACTAGTGCTGCTGGCATTTCTCACGCAGCTGCAACCGCTGGCTGAATTGCAGCTAGTCGCGAAAGATTTACTGGAAAACATGGAGCGATATGGTGTATTTCGGACATCCGTAACAGTGCCACGCATCCGCCTACTGTTGATAAGTGTTATCATGCTTGTGCTAGTTCACTTTGGATGGGACTTCATAACCTGGGCGGTTAACCATTACTACTCATCGGCGTTCAGTATCTATCGCTTTTTGGAAACCAGTCAAACGCTTCTTGTCTTCGGTATACGAATCACACGCTGGATGTTCTACATGTTTTGGCTGCTATGTGGAATGATACCGATTGGTTTTTCCGTACTACCGCAGATACTGTTTTTTGCTTACGGCTGCATATTAAAAGTAAGCATTGACCTTTATGAAGATCGCCTAAAACAGCTCAGTGTGACGCCACCAGTTCTTATCGTCGAGCGTCAGAAGCTAGAAGAAGTGAAAGAACTGATAATTCTGCGACAAAGCATTCATAAATTTGCCAAACGAATTAGTGAGACATTTAAGTGGATATCTGCGTTCGCTCTGTATCTAGACGCCGTGACCCTACTGGGATTCATGGCAAGTTCGGAGATCTTGTCGCATCAGCCCGATTATGCGAATCTCGGAGGAGTTTTTATTTATGGTTGCTATTTTATCGTGTTCTGCGTTCCTGTACTTGGAATCGACGAACAGGTTGCAGTGACCTTTACACTATTTCAAACCTTTTAATTGTATCTTGTTTTGCAGAGCTGGCGGATAAATGAATTGTTAACCATCATTACTAATCGTGTTGTCTGCAGCATTGAAATTGAAGAGGTATGGTTTACCGAAAACTCATCAAGAATTGCGCCATTAGAAACTACCACTTATGCCGAAAATGGCGATGTTTTTGTATCATATTTTTCCTTAATTTTTCATTTGTTGGGTGCATACTTTGAAACCTTATTTCTAGCGCCAAAAAATTGTGGATTACCTGCACAACTTGCTACGCAGCGAAAACAACTTGAAGATTGAAGTGGAAGCTGGGGCACAATGCATCTAAATCGGGCGTTGATCTTCAAGGTTTAGGCTTCGTTAGACCTATACGTGTTCCCTCCTTCGGTTCATTTAATTTGTTGCTGTATTTTGCAGATTTTTGCGCTTATTGCCACTATCACCATAGTTGCAACGGAACTGTATTCAAGTGACGCGCAGCTTATTCAATCCCTCAACATGAGCCAAATCGTTCACTGTGTGTGTGAATAGTGTGCTTTTCAGTTAATGCAAACAGAATTTCTATAAAACTGGAAAAAAGTTGTCAGAGATGACAGCTTCGTTGCACTGTATTATTTACGCAGCACTCAGTCTGCAACAATCAAACCACCACTGCATCCCAAGACCAGCAACAAACTTCCCAAAAGATCTAAAATTTCTCGTTAACCTTTGTTGTTGCAGAAAAATGTAAAGCTTTTATTTTCGCCACACCGTAAGCTATATGGTGTACAGTCTCTTTATCATCCATAAACTGCGGTGGAATTTCGGATCGGAAAGGTGGCGCAAGGTTCACATTCCAGGTTTCCAAATAGTTCATTGGCTAACAAGGTGGTCGTTACAATCAGCGCGTATGTCTGAAATTTTGGATGCATACTCGTACGGTTCGGAGGTTGACTACAAGCTTCGCGCTGGTTTGTAGTAACTTTGAATACTTCACCTTTACAAACAGGGCTCTGTTCAAATGGAAAAGTCCAGCCGGAGCCACTTGCAGTTTCGAGTTCGTATTCATGAATATTAACGTGTCCAGGGCAGCTTTTATTCTATTTCCCTAGAAAACGTGCGTAATGGTTTAGTAGGGACAGCAGACAAATTATGTCAAGTATTTCTACCTGTGGTGTTTCGATAAACGGTAACAGCTTCACCGCGAGGTCACTGTACAGCGATCCACCTTCATCATCCTGCTTGACCAGAATAAAATACTTTTTACATAACGGCTCTGAACAGAATTATACGTTACCCACCAATCTAGCGACTTCAATGAACGGGTACGCGAAGGATACGACGATCGCGGCATACACGAGAGTAGCCGCAATCATGACCGGTTCCGGATGTTTAGAAAGAATTTTGGCACTGGCTGCATAACTTAACATTAAAATCGTGTCTACACTGTAGCACATGGCCGTGGCAAAACAGAAGGCATGATTCAGTTGTCGCGCGAGAAAGCCTAATTTTTCACGAAATGCAATCAACGATTTCAGTTTCATTTCCGCTACTTCGTAGTCTGTCCTAGTATCTGCAGAGGCGCTCTGCACCAGCTGCGATAATTTTTGATAAAAATATTCCGTGCCCTCTTGCAAAACCGAACCACCAAAGAAGTACAGGCCTTGCGCCACAACCGATAAGAAAAACGGAATTGTGACACATGCAAACCACATGGCTGCTATTTGATACCGATACAGCTTGATTCCCAGTCGCAAAAACGTAGGACTAAGAACACCAAAATCTTTGACTGTGTACGATGGTCGCATTCGCGATACAATTTCCCATACAATGAGCGCAATACCGGCTCCAAAGGTAACAAGTAAAGTCCGTCGGGTAACGATTTTCTTGAGAGCACACTGATCAACTAACCGCTTGCCGTCGTAAAGCGGGAACATTGCGACATCCTTGACTTTTTCCCGTAGTTTCCAGGTTTCTTTACGTTTGATCATGAAAGCTACAGCCACGAGTGGGCCACGCAGCGAGCTTAACAGATCATCCACCGATGTGAGGATGTCCATGAGAGTCACTTCATATGTAGCGTTGATATAGCGTGCAACCAGACTCGCGCTGCACAGTGCCGCATTGACGAATCCACCGCAGATGAAAATCGCAAGTAGAATACCGTGGCCAATGATTCCGGCACGCGATCGGCTGTGCATTCCCAGGATATTAAGGAGGACAGCGGGGGGAACAATTGCAGTGTTAGAGTTCTTCTCCATGTTGTCTTGTCAAAGGTTGCAGTTATTATTGATAAAAATTCTTACAGCTCGCAAGATAACGTGGCTGCATTAATGGTGAGGCAGGAAAAGTAAGTTTCAGGTTTAACGTAATTCAATAAGCTGTTTATTTCGTAGCAGGTGTCGGTTGGAGTTCAAGAGAAATAGGAATATGATACGCTGAACATGGACTGCATGTATTGTCGTATGACCTTATTAGGTGACAAAAGCGAGATGCCAATAATACAACGCCGTATGCATAACATATCGACTCGCTTTAACGGCTGCTTGAATCTCTCGAATTATTTAAATGTGGTTTAAGTGTCGACAAAAGTTAACAGGCACAACCAGTAATCGTTTATGCAGTTGTTGAATCGATTTATGTCTTTGCAGTTTATTATGCGTCAATGTGGAGATTAAGTAAATTTATTTATCTGGAGTTTTTGTGGAAAACCGTTTGCTGCTAACACTAGTCTTTATTTGGTTTTAAAATGCAAGGATCAGTTAATTTTCTTTATTATTGCAGTTTCAGTTGTTATAGCAGCCACCTTTAATGAAGCTTTTAAATTAATTTTAATGAATTAAAATATTACGATGATACAAGTTTCACCCTTACGCACGGAGTTATGTCGCATAATATGTTAGCGCCAACTAAAGTTTCTGAAATACTTCTGTACACAGACCGCGCCGCCGTTGGACCTGTTTTCCGTCCGAGGAAGGTGCCCTCGCTGGATCCCTAGCGTGCTATCGGGTGTGTGCGCCGCCGAGGGTAAGGAGCCTGTAGCCGTCCGAGGAAGGTGCGGCCGCCGTTGATGGGCCTGCTTGCCGTCGGAGGAGGGAGGGCCGCCATTGGTAGGGGCCTTAACTGCCGTCCAAGGAAGGTGAAGCTGCAACTGGAGGCCTACCTTGCCGTCCGAGGATGCTGCAGCTCTCCCCAGT